ACCCAAACGTCAAAAGTAAGTGAAATTGGTCGAAATTATCATTTTTAAATTCAAATTTTTGACATGTGATATAATATCTTAGTAGATAAGGTGTTGTTTTTGAATTCGTCTCTCTAGCAACTTGCGAGTTGGGACTGCATCACCTTCAACTCCTCCCAAACCTTCCAATCTCGACCACCTCTTCACCGCCATCAAGATTATTGAACACCACCATCGTCTATGGAGACCAGGGCCATCAAGTGTCCAAGTCGGAATTGGTGATGGTTGCTGTCGAGTGACTCGAGTCATGAGTGAATGGGACAGGAGTGTCTAAGTGATGGAAAAAAATTAAATCCAACGGTGTAGTGGAAGTGAGATTAATCATTAAATCCAATCCAATTATCCAATGCTAGAGGTACATTTCTCCTATTTTTGGACCGCCCTACCCCGTCAATTCCTATACCAGTCCTGTCCCACCCCGTCATGTTTCTTCTTCAAAATATTTAGACCCGCCCTGTACCCGCCTCAAACTGCTTGAAGTTGAACCCACCCGACCTGCGGGTCCATGACTCATTTGCCTACCCCTTATATTTTGATGATGTAAAATGGTTGTTCTCTTTGACATTTTGTTATTTTTTGGGATGCTTTTTGTTATTAGTTTACCCAATTAGTTAAAATAAATCGTTATTGTAACTTAAATTTTTAAGTACTACGGTGTAGTGATATTCCTCTTCACTTGTAAGTGAAATGTTTTATGTTCGATTTTCACTAAAGGTGAAGCTGAATCACATTATTGTTAGCCTATTGTGAGACTAAGCCCACCATGTTCCCGATAGAGCAGATAATATCATTTGTTAAGAAAAAACATTAAAATTAGAAAGAAAAAGAGAAATAAGACATCAAAATATAATTTGTTTGTACCATACTTAGGGCCTCTGTATTTAGATCTTGTATAAATACTCGGGGGACTTAAATGTAATTATGTAATAAAGAAATGGGCAAATATGTAATAAGTGAGGAGCCCTTATTCTATAAAAGGACTCATCACCCTCACAATTAGGGGAAGCCAATTCCTAGGCCATGGAAGGGCTCTCTCACCCTCAGAAGCTCTCTCCATCTTCCTCACCTCTCAGATAAATATAATATCAGTGTGGACGTAGCTCAAACATTGGGATGAACCATGATACATCTTGTGTTATTTACATTTCTTGCAGATTCACAGTCGGATTTACGTTGTTCCAAGACCTCCGGTTTTGTGCATCAACATTTGGCGCCGTCTGTGGGAAACGACACGAAAAACTATGTCGGTCCTATTTCATTTTTTCATCTCACCAGAAAACCTCACTCTTTGGGCTTTTCCAAGAAACCTTCGAAGAATCTGTGCAGTCTAAAAAAAAAAAGGTCCAAAACCCTTTTTTTTTTCTCTCTCTCTCTATTCATTTCTGGAAGATCTGCAACTCACAAATCTGTCTACATAAAAACTCTGCGTTTTGCTGCTTCCTAGGAAAAGAAGCTATGAGCGACTCAATTGAGCCCGCAACAACATCGTCTTCGGCCAAGGATCCGACCCTCTTGGTTCACCCGCGCCGCGAGTCGTTCAAGCTCGGGCTACTGCCCATCCCCAAGCCCATCTTCACCGACCTGACCTTTGCTCAAGCAGAAGCTGATCGTAAAGTCGCCGAGTCACCGAGTCGACTCGTTCGCGATCTCCGAGGCAACTCAGATTGCAAGGCGTCCAAGGGTAGTCTCATTATTCTTGAACCAGCGAAGAAAATTACACACAACTCGATCGTGGGATTTCTTGGGACTTGAGCAAGAGGGTGTTGTTCCACCTAATTCAATCTGGAAGAAGGCAATATATGGTGAAGATTCGATCATAGGAAACCTTGATACTGGCGCAAGGCCAGAATCCAAAAGCTTTAGTGATGAGGGGTATGGACCGATTCCATCCAAGTGGAAAGGAATCTGTCAAAATCAGACAGATCCAAAATTTCACTGCAACAGTTAAACATGATATGCTCGTTGTTAATGCATATTTGAGTTCCATTTGCTTCTCTCGCGGGTTCCCGAAGCGGACGCCGGCGGCTGACAAGGTCAGAGGCTTGCAACAGAGGGAAGTTCGTCAACAAGGTCAGAGGCTCGGGATTCCCGGAGATCAGCCTCGACGAAAGAGAGTGGGTGAAGAAAATGGTGATGACGGGGCAAGTCGCCGGAGGTCTGACGGCGTACGATCGCCACGTCTTGTTGGCAGTAAACATCGGAGCGGCGAGCCTATCGTTTGTTGGGTCAGGGTTCATCGTCCTCTTCAAAGAGCTCCGCAAGTTCTCCTTCAAGCTCGTCTTCTACCTCGCGCTCCACATCGCCTTGGAAACTGATCCACGGAAATGAAAAGAAAAACTAAAGTAAGTCTGCCAGAGAGGGTGGAGGTGGAGAGATAGAGACACAGTGGAGAGAAAAGAAGAAAAGCAAAAGATTTTCCTATTATTATGATTCCTTCTGTCTGCCAGGTGAAGAGACAGAGAGAGTGCAGTGGAAAAAAAAAGCAGAAAAAAAGCAAAAGAGAAAGCAAAAGCAAGGAATAAACACCACACTAGAATGATATGGTTTACTTTCCTTGTTTTTGTATGATGTGATTTATTTATCTTATCTTTCGGAGACATCTGTATAAACCCCATCAGAGGGTAATAATAATAATAAAAAAAAAACGGCAAAGCCCAAAATAAATGGGCTGAAATGTTGTGTGGAGGGCAAAGGCCCATAAGCCCAAAATAGAACCAACCAGGTGACCAAAAGTACCCCCAGTACTACAAAAAATTATTCGGCACCCCGCCGCTATTATCGCCAACCAGGTAATCAAAAGTACGCCCAGTACTCCAAACTATCCAGCAGCCTGCCGCTATTATCACCAACCAGGTGATCGAAAGTACGCCAAGTACTTCAAATTATACATGAGCATTACTCATGTCAATCATACATAAACATTCATGAGCATTACTCATATCAATCATACATAAACATTCATGAGCATCACTCATGTCAACTTTTATGAGCATCACTCATGTCAACATCCATGAGCATCACTCATGTCAATCAACATAAACATTCATGAGCATCAGTCATGTCAATCAACTTCAAAAGCTTCATTTACAAAGCTCTAGCTTCAAAAGCTTCATTTACAGAGCTCTAGCTTCAAAAGCTTCATTTACAAAAGCTCTAGCTTTAAAAGCTTCATTTACAGAGCTCTAGCTTCAAAATCTTCATTTACAGAGCTCAAGCTTCAAAAGCTTCATTTACAGAGCTCTAGCTTCAAAGCTTCACTTGCAAAGCTTCACCTACAAAGCTTCAGTGCAGGGTATACAAATACCGCCTCCGAACAACCGCCACTTCGGCCCATACATGGATTCAATTTGAAGTCTCCAGCCAACATACTCTATTGACCAAAGACTTGGGGATGTACCATATATTAGGCCTTAATTGGGCCTCATGAAAAATACTTGGGGGACTTAGCCTATTATTTATGTATCGAGGAGAGCATCGCCGCCTGCTGAGTAACCGCCTCGCCGCGAGCATCACTCCTAACCCATCACTTATGTATTGAGGAACGAGCCCTTAGTTTATAAAAGGGACTCCCTCACCATCATTAAAAAGCATCGCCGCCTGCTCTAGCCCATCATTTATGTATTGAGGAGCGAGCCCTTATTCTATAAAAGGGACTCCCTCACCTTCAACCGCCACAAGCCGAGCCAACCAAGGCAACATAAGCCACAAGCCGAGCAGCCTCGCAACATGTACTACATCTAGTTGAGCCTTATTTCACATTGAGCGTCGCCTCATATCGAGTATTCAGCTCTAGACGACATCTAGTTACTTCGGTCCACACATGGACTGAATTTCAAGTCTCCAGCCAAAAGACTCTCTTGATAAAAGACTTGGGGGACTAGTGTTTGTACCATACTTAGGGTCTCCGTATTTAGATCTCGTATAAATACTCGGGGGACTTAAATGTAATTATGTAATAAAGGAATGGGCAAATATGTAATAAGCGAGGAGCCCTTATTCTATAAAAGGACTTCTCACCCTCACAATTAGGGGAGGCCAATTCCTAGGCCATGGAAGGGCTCTCTCACCCTCAGAAGCTCTCTCCATCTCTCTCCCTCACCTCTCAGATAAATATAATATCAGTGTGGACGTAGCCCAAACATTGGGGCGAACCACAATACATCTTGTATTATTTACATTTCTTGCAGATTCACGGTCGGATTTACGTTGTTCCAAGACCTCCGGTTTTGTGCATCGACATAATTAATAAATGAGGTGACTAAATGTATTAAGGGACGAAAATTAGATATTGATCTTACACAAGGTTATACTCTAAAATTATCTTTTCCAAGGATTAAAATGAAGTTTTCTAATAAATACTAGCATATGCCCCACACTTTGTGTGTGAAAATAATTTGAATTGTAAAATGGGAAGGAGAAAGGAGAAAAAAAAAGGAATGTGGATTCGAGATAGAAGTTTTCTTTTTTGTATTTTATTTTTCAAAATTAGAGGATGTAGGGTTTAAAAAAACTGCAAAATTTAATTTGTGTGAATTTACTTTACTGCCCATGATTTTGTTTTGTGGTAGGAGACAAAATTATCGTTTTACTCTCTTTTGATTGACAAAGAGGGTTTTATTAATGTAGTTTAGACATCTATAAAATATGTATGTATGTATGTTTGTATGGTTAGGCAATTTAAACCATACATGTATAATGACGGTTACTTTTTTATACTGGAATTATTTCCCATTTAGCTAGCGGTTGATGATAAAGATAAAATACTCTCTTAATTCCTGTTAAAAAGGCCACGTAATAAACACCAAGTAATTTTAACTAGCTTGACACACAAGAAACCCTAGCCCATTGTTACCTATATAAATACATGCCGCTAGCTAATGATCACCCTATTCAGTATCATTACTTGCTCATCGCCTCCGCTTTTCTCATTCTTCTCAAATCCTTGCTATTAGAAAGTTATTATGGCTGGTTACTACCAAGTTCCAGTAGGGTACAGGTTCATGCCTCGAGACGACGAACTACTTCTTGGCTACCTTCGTCCCAAACTTGACGGACAGGACTATCCCAAGGGCATTGTTCATGACTGTGATCTCTACGGTCTTGAAGAACCATCGGACATATGGAGACGTCTTAACCGTGCATCACATGATGGTCAAGAATGTACAGATGATAAAGATATCTACGTCTTCACCACACTCAACTCGAATGCTCCTAATGGCTCGCGTGTTTGCCGAACAGTTGGCACCACCGGCGGCACTTGGAAAGGCGAAGATGCCGGCAAGGAAATCTACGCTTCTGGGATTAAACATGCTATTGGCTTAAAGAAAAGATATACATACAGGAACAAAGGATCCTCACAGAATGACCATTGGATTATGCATGAGTTCCATCTTGATCCATCTTTACTACGAAACAAACATCATCAAGTAAGCACACTTTTCTTTCTTTTAAATTGTTTTTAAGTTTTCTGTCTAATTATTCGGAACTCCGCCCATGTCTTACATGGCCGGTCCCAAGCCCGGATAAAGGAGGAGGGGGAGGGCGTCAGGTAGTCGACAGCCGGCACTCCATGATCACGTCGAATCCTTATGAAAATGAATCCAGAACAAAATCGCGCTAAAGCTAGGGCGTCACCCGTAAGTGGCGCGCTGGGTGGCCCGAGCACAGTGATAAGTGAGCAAGGGTCGCTGTATCTCCATCGGCACCCGGATGCAGTGTTAAATGAGCAAGGGGGCCATAGAAACTTCTTTTCGAACGACTCCACTCAAAGTTGTTTGGGAGCATATGCTCCTATCAACTTTACCCGGGACACACAAAAGAAGTACTTTGATCCTATTAGACGGGGGAGGGTGAAGAAGTTAGGACAGAAGGGTAGAGTTCAAGAGAGAAAAATGCGTTTAGGAACGTGGAATATAGGAACCTTAACGGGAAAATCTATGGAAGTAGTGGAAGTTATGGTGAGGAGAAGGATAAATATTATGTGCCTACAAGAAACTAAGTGGGTTGGTAGTAAGGCAAAGGATCTAGAAAACTCAGGGTTTAAACTTTGGTATTCGGGCACAAATAGAACGAGAAACGGTGTTGGCATCATCGTGGACAAGACCTTGGTACAAGATGTTGTAGATGTCAAGAGGGTAGGAGATAGAATCATGGCAATCAAGATTGTAATAGGACAAGAACTTATCAATGTGATTAGTGCGTACGCACCTCAAGTAGGGTTGGATACGAGTTCGAAGGAGAAATTTTGGGAAGATCTTGGAGACTTGGTGCAAGGAATTGCTCAGACAGAGAAGTTATTTATAGGAGGAGATTTAAATGGACACGTGGGCAGGGAGACAGGCAACTATGGAGGTTTTCATGGTGGCCATGGTTTTGGGGAGAGAAACGAGGATGGGGAAGCTATCTTGGATTTTGCAATGGCATATGATCTCTTCTTAGCCAACACCTTCTTTAAGAAGAGAGAAGAACATGTGATCACCTACAAGAGTGGGTCGTCAAAAACACAAATAGATTTTCTTCTAATGAGGAAAGGGGATCGTATAACTTGTAAGGATTGCAAAGTTATACCAGGAGAGAGCGTGGCTAATCAACATCGCTTGTTGGTGATGGATGTACATATCAAAAGAGTAAGACAAAAGAACAAGACTTGGAAGTGCCCAAGGACTAGATGGTGGAATCTAAAAGAAGAAAAACAAGTCATTTTCAAAGAGAAGGTAATCACCCAATGTGTGTGGGATAGAGAGGGGGAAGCTAGCCAAATGTGGGATTCCATGGCTAGTTGTATCCGAAAAGTAGCAAAAGAGGTATTAGGAGAGTCCAAGGGCTTTGCCCCACACCAAAAGGAATCTTGGTGGTGGAATGAGGAGGTACAAACAAAGGTGAAGGCTAAGAAGGAATGCTGTAAAGCCTTATACAAGGAGAGGACCGATGAAAATGGTGAAAGGTATAGAAAAGCGAAGCAAGAGGCGAAGAAAGCTGTCAGAGAAGCTAAGTTAGCGGCTTACGACGATATGTATAAACGACTAGATACCAAAGAAGGAGAGTTGGATATCTATAAACTATCTAGAGCAAGGGAAAAGAAGACAAGGGACCTAAACCAAGTGAGGTGCATCAA